CCGATACCCAGCGCAGGCACACCGATCCTGCCGCTGTTTGTGATGTACTCAGGTGGACATGATTGCCGTAGCGTAGAGGAGTCCTTGAGAACCCCTTCCGCGTTAGCCTGGTCCTCCCCGAGGCCACGTTGGATCTCTTCCTCTGTCTGGACCGCCTCCCAATTCCCCTTTGAGACGGCCACATACACCGCCTCGGTGGGCTCGTTGTAGGAGACGTGATCGACCGTATCTTAGTATCCCGTCTCTCGTCGATGCTTCCTTACATAACTTCGGGTTGAAGGGCCCCGTGGTGTTCACCTGCCTGAGGTTCGCCGTAGACCATGAACGTGTTAGGGAGCGGTGACTTTGAATAGACCGTGGGTCATCTCATCTGCTAACCACCTTTCGTAATCTCATCCTCTAGTAGTGACCGCCACTTCGATACAACTGCGGTCGCCTCCAGAGAAGCCCTTGTTGTCAAACATGTTTAGGTTCTAGAGGGCTGCTGGTATCCATATACTATGAACGACGATCCCCAGGTAATTGACGAACTCGGGCCAACATGTGAGAATCAGATTTCAATGGTATCGTCGATAATAGACTACAATGTACAGGAACAGTCTCTGCCTTCTACTCTCCTTACAGCCTGCTCGACGATGGCGGCGGCGCACCTCCCCGCTGCATTAGGTCGAACGTATTCCGTGCACGACCGTCTCTGATAGGCCCTGATGGCTGTCTGTCCTCCCAGGAAGTGGCCGTGGAGTGGTATTGATACTTATCATACGGCGCACTACGCTGATACCTATAGCTACTCCCATAGGCGCGACCAACCGGCTCCAGTGGCCTAGGTACATGGACCGATGCCTGCTGCCGTAGAGGTACTGCGGGAACTGCTCGCAATGGATGGGCAGCTTTCCTAAGACCCCCACGGGGAGGGGTACAGGACGCGGTCGCCGGAGTGTAGTGTTGGATCTGCTCTATCTCCTTACGAATGGTAGTTGGAGTGGTACGGTCTAACACGACCTTAATTGGCTTCGACATTGGTTTCTCCCCAGATATCTCCACATCTCTACCCTCTCCGTGGTACCGCTGGAAAATGGCCTCGACCTCTGCCGAGCCTCTGCCCATCACCAATGGCTGTATGAGGCTATGGCCCCGGTTCTGGTCCCAATGATGGACATAGTCACACAGGGTCATCGAGGCATGGAATAGAGACGCTCGTACGGTCCTCCACTGAAAGCACTTATTGCCAATATCAGAGGAAGGCTCCAGAGGACTCTCCACGCAGATGATGTCGTTGCTATGGTTCCTCTTGCTCACTACGTCGAAGCGTCGCTCCGCCTTACTGAACATTCGTCCACCGTTAGTGACCGAAAGGCCGTACATGTCGCAATGGAAGTCACGACCTAGCCACTGAAGCATGTCCACTAGCATGTGCCCGAGGCTCTCGTTTCCCTCGGCTGTGCGAGAGTATCCGAACGACGTCGGATGTTGCTGTAGGAAGGCGATGACCAAGCAGGCGGCCAAGTAGCTGCCGACTCCTCCAGTAAAGGTAAGGTTGAGTTTCCTTGAGGCGAGGTAGGTCTTGAGGAATATCATCAAGGGCTTAAAGGCCGGGTACTTCTCGACTCCCTCCCGTATTACGAATTTGGTCGTATTAGAAGAATCCGGTTCTCCTGAGGAGTTGTCGTGCACCGAAACATCAACTTCGACGTGTGGAGGTAGCACGTCCACGAGTTTGACAATGGGCACTCGAGCGGTCTCGCGGAGCTCCAACTCCTTCAGCTGGCCCTGACTGAGGAGCTTATCGGAGAGCATTCGGACGGCCTCTACTGCGCCAACAGGCACATTCTGGAGGGAAAGGTCGATGTCCCCACTAGGAAGGCTCAGACCAGAGAGGAAACTGCCGAAGACCTTGAGTTCACATTGTGGCCAGAGGTCCTTGCAGACCCCATTGATCCTCGCGACGAACTCCTCCCTTGCTTTCACTTCATCGTCGTTGAGGACCACCCACTTGGTGTAGTCTACGAGCTCCTCGTGAAGCATGAGGTGCATAGGCAGATGAGGGTCGTACCCACCCTTGGGCCACCATGGAGGGGCTTGTGACATGGCTGGTGCAGGCCTGGAGCTAGCAACGATGCCCTCGAAGGCCTCAGGGACGACGTTGGAGGAGGTGGAGACGCCCATGAAGTTGTCACCTTCCTTGCCTATAGTTCCAGCCTCTGCGGAGGAGTTCCTCTGTCGGGGTTTCCGTAGAAGCTCTCGCATAGACTTGTTCTTCCCTGCCTGAGAGATGAGTGGGTCATCGGGCACCAAATCGACAAGATTCCAATGAGGCCAGCAAGGCGATCACTGACTGCTCCCATGAGTACTACCCTTTCCTTGTTCATCTCTTCCTCCTCTGGAGTTATGAACTGCTCTATGAACGCCTCGTATGCCTCATTGGGGGCATCGGCGGGCTCCGAGGCCTCTACTGCGTCTTCATTGGTTGACATAGGAAGGAAGAAGGGGAAAAGGAAAGTTCATGATGGATCGCAGAGATAAAGGAAGTTTAAGATCTTGCAAGAGTGCAAGAGCTTACGCTTTCGGACATGGAATTCGGGCATGCCTCCGCACTGTATGTCCAAATTCGGAGTCCGCAGGTGACTCTTGATGGCTGCGGATGGCCGGAGAGGAGCATGCAGCTGGCTGGCAGGAAAGCCTTTAAGTACTAGGGGGTCGGGTAGACTGTGATAAGGAACTTTCCCCGACACAGGCGGTGTCGCCGACTAGTGGGCCACCTTAGTGGCCGACTGGTTAGCCTCATAAGTGGCAGGAGGCCCCTCAAAGGGTCCTCATGAAGTCTCGCAAGGGATACAGTATCGTGTAGATGAATGGCCTTGCCCAACCACAGCTCTCTATCGTCTCCTAGACGCCGGTCATCATCACAGACTCCTCGCCCAATTGCCTCGGGTGTGCTCTCAAGGCCAGGTGGCTTTCACCATAGGGCCCACTTTAGAGAAAAAAAGCATCACGCTAGAGAAGTGAGGAATAGTATCCCCTCGACGCTTATCACTTCCAAGATTCAGAGTCTCAGATACCCCGTTGGGTACTCTTTCGATGGCCGGCGAGTGCCCATGGGGGGCCCTCTATACTACCTAGTATGGCACTATCTGCTGGCCTGGTATGCAGGATCCTGTCAAATACCGAGATCCAGCTGAAGTAGTCTTATCGAGGGACGCGGGGCCGACTGATACCAGGAGTGCAGCGAGGGTAGGGGTAAACCGAAACCCGCCGAGTAAGGTCCTCACTGGCACTCGAGTGGTTATACGGCGTATTGGGGAGGCCTAGATGGAGTGGGCCTCGTCGGTGCCGACTAGGGCCTCCCCTCCTGCGGGTAGTATCGGGAGTCCTAGTATAAACAGCGGCGTTCGTATGGCACGGTCCCTATTTCTTGAGAGGGTTATCACACGGCCGTCTCGGCCGACGGGGTACGAAGGGCTAGGGCTAACGATCCTCTAGTGGCGAGGAAATCCTGTTACTTGGGGATGAAGGCTAGAGATGAGGGCATGCTCAGAGTGTCGTAGTGAAGTCGGAAAGGAAGGTGATGGGCATAGTCTTCAACGGGAACAGAGGAGGTATACAAAAGAGGAGTTACCCTCAATGGCGAGAGACTATACTCAACGCTAGCAAGGTAGTCAGTGTTGTCGAGAGAGGGCAGAGACGATGGGCCGACCTTTGGTGTCTAAAGGCTGAAAAGGTCAGGTTGAAGGTCACCACCGCAACGGAGACGCCTGGCTACGCCTTGGTCAGAGTTGCGGTAGATGAGAGGTCGCCGGATACGGTACTCAAGCCTGGACGGCCGAGAGAATTAAAGAGCGAGGACTCAGTGACTGTAGTGGCGAATCGGATCACTGGTGAGCTAGCGATCTATATCAACGGTGATGAGGGTCACAGGCAGGGGCTCGGAAATGAAATGCCCAAGAGTCCAAGGCTTACACTGGAGGTGTTGGGGATGGTGGCGGGCGATCCGAGTGCTCCCTTCGGAGGTCGTGGGGGAGTTTATCGCCTCGTTGCCGTTGGTCAGAGCCTCTGAATCTCAAAGGCTCTCGAAGAGCCTCTTGTGCTGCGTCTGAGGCTCGTAAGGCTGGGTTAGGTACGACTAAATCAGGAGTCCCCAGGCATGTTGTGGTAAAGGTTGTCGCTGACGGTGGGCGCCGGCTCTCCGAAAGGAACGCTTCTTACGTGGCTGGAAGGCCTCCAGTGGTCGTGGTTAGAGTCTCTAGAATCGAGTCAGAGAATCGATTGCAGTGGTAGTGAGCTGACTCATACATATCATACTGGGCCTGATACGGTTCCGGGGAGCTATTCGAATCAGAGTTATTGGGCGGCTCGATGACAATATCATCCTAGGGCGGGGTATTGGGGGAGGGTTACTACCAGACAGGTTCTAGCAGTAGTTATACGAGGTCTTCGAGTTATGAGAAGAGAGGCTCCGTAAACTTCCTCTGCGGTCAGCGACTCAGTGTTACCTCTTCCTCGAGGAGTCGCTCACACCCGCCATCGATACTGCTGACGAGTAGCGATAGTGAGAGTCACTACATTATCCGTGATCAGCAGTTATATCCTTCCGTACTCATAGATGTGCTCATGCTCCTGCTTGTTGAATTTATTGTTGTGTAAGCTTTGCTGTGAATACACTTGTAGTGTCGAGTTGGCCTCCTTATGGGTTCAACGATGCCGTGTTGTCCTCAGTTGTGTGGGTGTTGTACTTTGTACTATGGGCGTGACCATTGGTTCACGTACCTACTCCCTCCGACGGACACTAGCCTTAGGCCTCTTCCTTCTAGCCTACTCGGCCCTTATACCGGGTCTGATCCTGCCCATAGTGGAGATTCGAGGACAGCAACATAGCTTCGCTCCTCATGGAGTCAACGGAGCGATCATACCGGTCAATTCGAACATCCTGGGCTCTTCTAGGGCAGAGGATGAGGGCGTGACAACTACTGCTGGTCCGAGGTCACCACTGGCAGAGACGAGCTTCGTACGAAGCACCTTGGACTCGGTCCAGGACTTGTTCGATGCTGGTTACTGGGTGCCTGCTGGACTTATCATTTTCTTCTCCTTCATCACACCAGGCGTGAAGTTGCTGGTCCTACTATACTCGGAGACCAGAGGCCACTTAGTGCATATCCGGAAGCACCAGTACTTGGATCTACGACGTGTGTTGCGACAAGCTAGCAAATACCAGATGGTTGACGTGTTCGTTGGAGTCCTCACTATGGCCTTCCTCAACCATAACGTTATTGAGGCCCACTACCGTAGCGGCTTCTACTACTTTACGCTCTACTGTGTGGCCAGTATTGCCGCTACACAGCTCTTGGACAGTAGCAGTGACAGTGTGTTCGCGCCGCCGAACCCTGTAGGGCCCCGACGGGAGCTTGACTACCCAGAGGTGTTGGTAACTACTGTGGACTTGATTCTCCTCTATATGACCATCTCGATGTTCGTGGTTGGTTTTGTCTGGTCCCTTGGGTGGCCGATACTGTCCGTAAGGTTCCTCTTTCGGGAGAAAATTGTGGTGGCGGAGAACTCTTTGTCTTTGCATGATATGAGCCGCAATTTGATGGAATCTGGTCATCTCCTCCCTGCTGTGCTTTTACTACTATTTGTGGTCTTTTTGCCGATCTGTCACATCACCATGGTAGCAGTGCTCAAGACGGGGTGTCTGCCGAGACAGGTGAGCGGCCGAGTGTGTGCACAGTCGGCCGCGCAGTGGATGTGGGAATGGTCACAACTGGACGTGTTTGCGCTGGCGTTGTTCATCACTTTATTCGTCTTCAACGCCTTCAGTCTCCTTCGAGCCGTTGCCCCTTGGGGTTTCTACTGCGTCCTTATGGCGGCTATGAGTGGCTTCGAGTTGGCTAAGCATGACTTACCTCCGATGCTGAGAATGGCACAACATGACCTAGTCGAGATGGACGAGATCGTCTGTGAAGAGGAAGAGGAGGAGGAGCAGCAGCAGCAGACTGTTGTCGAGCCCGGCGTCATAAAGCACAGACGAGAGCACTCAGGAAGCAGCTCATTCTCAGAGGAGCGTCTCCGCTCTCGGGTGGACTCGGTTGCAAGCACAGTAACGATCGCCAAGTCACGACGTCTTGGTAACTGCTGTCGTGGACTTGTACGGATAGTCCAGAAATTAGGATTGCCGTTTTTCGTGCTCAAGGCGATTGGCTGGATTATATTCTTCGTCATTTGGTGGGTGAACTCTGGCAATGCCAGACTGGATCTAGCAGGAGTGAACGAGACTCTTCTCGAGAACGCCCCATTGGTAACTAGTGGCCTTCGGGACTTCTTGCCAGATATGGTGGGACAGTGTCCGCCAGAGCTTCCACGTCCCG